TAATAATAATAATAATAATAATAATAATAATAATAATAATAATAATAATAAACCAACCTATTTTTGAGGCTTGGGCTACTCTTATAACACCACTCAGCCACCAACGTAACCTATTTATTGCTACTCATGTTGATAATATAAATATTATAAGAGAGCTCTAATCAAGTACCATGTTCGACACCCCCTTAAAGGCTCTACCTAACTAGGGTAGGTCAGGCAAGATATGCATCCAAGTATATGTTAGGAGCTAGAAAAACTTAATACTTGAGGCTTCAACCCTCTCTCTCTCTCTCTCTCTCTCTCTCTCTCTCTCTCTCTATTGATAAATGTGACATTATAAGATATCTTCAGTTGGTGATAGAGTGGAATCTCGTTTGAACTTATCTCCTCTTATCCTTCTCGTCCTGCAAAAAACATTGGACTCATTGACGAGCGCTCTTTCACATCATCCATGATGATAGGATACTAGATAAGGTGTTTCTTAAGCCCAAATCATTGTAGGCAATAACGTTACATCTTTACTATATAACTTTCTATCATTTAGTATGTTTGATCTAATTCAAAATTCATCTATTTTATGATTTTTAAAGAGAGAAAGTTTTTACAATGAAGAAAATATCGAGAGTTCTCTCTTGTCATTCGATTATTATATAGAACCCTCTCTTTTGGATGCTCTTAATTATGTGATTAATCAAATTTGAAATCTTTTTTTCCTCCCATAGTACTTAATATGATAATGAGTTTTTTTTTCTTTCATATATCTCATCATAGACGGAAGCCTTAAATATTCTTACCAAGGGCTAAAGTTAATCCATGGAAAACTCTTCACTTAATCTCATGACATCTTAACTTTTTAATTTTATTTAAATAATTTACTTTTCATTCGATTTAGATTCATCTTTCCATACTATAATGTGAATATCAAATCTTAAAATTATTTTTTTATATTACTTACTTTAATGTTTTAAAACTCGATGAACATGTCTCAATGACTTTTGAGAGAGGAAATTTTATGTGAATTTATCTAAAAATTGATTTATCCATGCCCTTAAAAAAGGACATTTGGATTGAAAAATCTTATACAGAGATATTTCAAGTTATATGTTGTGAAAATTTTTTATTAATCTATTTTATACGTGGTTATATTGGACACAAGAATTTTGATTGCCCTCAAAAGAGTCCAATAATAATATCCTCAAAAGATGATATGAGGACATCCGTGTCTTATTCCTCTTTGTAGCCTCTCGAGCAATCACTCTTTGGAGTAGGATGAGCTTGGGAAAGGCTTTTAAGGTTGATAATAAAAAACTAGACTCGATTAGTATATGGTTTATAGATTTATGTGAAGCATAGACATGCGCCTAGGAAAAAAAAAAAAAAGTGTGTTTTGAAAACATAGAACAAAATGATATAACTCTTTATCAAGAAAGAACTAAAATGTATTCAAACTCATAAAATTAAATCAATTTAAGAAAAATAAGATTTAAATATTTATTTTTAGACCTAGTGATCATCTTATAATTGATACAAAATGAACGAATAAATAAGATGAATAAGATATCATGATTTAAAATAAAACTAAATTAGTGATCATAAATTAGTAAAAGTATAGATTATAAAATGACATTCACTCGACTAAACTTAAAGTCATAAGAATATTGTTTGTCTATGCTTATCTTTATAATTTTAAATTCTTTTAAATATATATTAAAAGTGTTTTTTTAATAAATTTGTTTAAAAAATTAAATCAAATAACCATCCTGATTTAAGAATAATATTTATTTAAATCATATTTTATAAATATTCTAAGACTCTACTAGTTAAAACAAACCCAAATAATAGACTTAGTTTTTTTAAAACCAAAATAATCTTTTAAAATAGAAGGTCGACACTAGTTTAAATTTATATTAATGATAATATATTTCACTAATTAATATTTATGTGAATCATTTGCCAAGAGTATAAGTTAAAAAATTGAAATTGGTCTAATGGATAAATTAATATTTTTCTTAGGTTATAAATTAAATAATATAATGATAAAATTTTTATTAGTCAAATTTAGTACACTCAGGATCTAAATAAAAGATTTAATATAAAAAAACTCTAAAGCTATTAATATAATAATGAGTACCTTCACAAAATTTGAGATGGATAATGATAAACTCTTTGACTAAAGATATGATAAAAAAAAATTTGTATCTCACTATTACCATACTAGATAATATGTCCAATGTAGGTCTTTGTATTGGATTCTAATTAAATCACTAAACAGTCTCATTTTAAAGGCATAAAATTAATTTTTAAATACTTAAAAGAAACAGTATCTCTAAAATTATAGTATCTAAAATTTGATAATTTTGATTTGATTGCTTATATTGTTATTGTAGAATATAAAATAAATAAAATAAGTACATTTAAAACATGGTAAAATCTACACCATACACTTATTTTTTTATTATCCAAGAAGTAAAATTCTATCACACTATCTACAACTAAAATAGAATATGTTACGGTAGATGTAACATATTCGAATGAATCACACTTTAAAGGACTATAAACTTTGCTTAAATAATTATCCCCGGTATAATTATACTAGTACAATTTACTTAACAAAAAATCATATTCAATACTGTTAGACTAAGTTTATTGATATAAACATCATTTTGTTAATAATCAAATTAGCATTACATTTTTTTTTCCATTTAAGTCTATATTTAAATACTCAAGATTTTACAAAAATCTTATGCTAAGTAACTCAACTAAAAATTCAAGAAAATAAAGAAAACTCAGGTAAAGCTTTAAGAGAGAATTTTAATATTTTGAAAGCTCAATGATGAAAGATGCATCTCAATCATAGCTGAATTAGGTATTTATAGTCTTAAATGTCCCAAAAATTTGAAACAAATTAAAAAAAAAGCTCGAAATCAAGAATATTGATGGTATTATCGTCTTTCCAACCAAACTGTTATTAATATGTTGAAACAACACGATTAGCACCGTCCACTATCCTGAGCAGTACCACCAACCAATGCGTTGCCAATAAGAGCGCAAAACAGCTAATGAAGCATCCCACTTTGATCAAATTCAGCTCTCTAACTTGATATTATTCAAATATAATCCTCAACTTCAAGCAAGACTTTCAAATAACAATCACTTTTTTAGCATATCAATTTATCTTTCTTCGTTATTTGATATAATATCCGATCGTGATATTTGATCATTCATTATAATGTTCAAGCCTTTAGCACATATTTTTTTGACATATGTTCGATTGGCTCTTGATTGAGGTACACCCATATCACTTGATTAGTTCCTTAAATTTATCGATTGATTTCATTATCTACATCTATCATTTAACTAAAGATACATCAATAGTTCATGTAAAAACACTAATTGAGGAAGATGCTTCTTTTCAACATTGTGAAAGATAAAAAGATCAATTCTTTTCAACATTGTGAAGGATAAAAAGATCAAATAAATAAGTCCATTTGTTTGGCAAGTAGTATTTCTCATATTTGCTAAGGTTATCGATAAAGTTGCTAGTGAATTTTATCATACTAATTGTATAGAAGTTCATATCAATCTAGGAAGAGAAAGATAACATAGTAAAAAAAAAAAAATGAATAAGGTGGATCTACAATAGGTAAAAAAAGAAGAATAATAAATAGATTTTATCCCAGAAACTAATTATGCTGGTAAGAGATGGATAAGAGGAATACGAGATAATACAACTATATAAAAAAAAGAAAAGAAACGATAAGGTATATCGATATTAAATATACAAATGTATTCGTTCACGATGGTCACCATATATATAATAACTTTCCATAAAGAAAGTGATTATTCTCAATTTGAAGAATTTATTGTGAGTGTGCATATTGGTTTTTTTTTTATATTTATGACCCATTATATGAAATATGATTCATATATCCTCATTTCTTATGTTGACCCTCCTTTATGTATGTTATCATATTGACATTGGTTGCTTCTATAACAAATGTCATAGTTGGCAACTATGACCAAAAAAAAAAAAAAAAGGTTATCTTATGAGCATATGAACAGTTTGACTACTTGTAGAATATGGGCTGATGAGGGGAAGCATCTCAGCCTCACATGCTTGTAGACACTATTGAATGAATTGGAAGGTGTTCATGGATAAAAGTGATGTCAACATATATTTCCCCATCTTAGTATTTAGAAACATTTCTTATATGTTCATATTTTACCTAATCTTTCTAGTTTTCAACACTAGAGAAATATTATCATCAAATTGGCATTTACCTCCATATTTGAGTTGGGCAGCAAAACAAATGAGGATCCAACTGAACACAGTTTAACTCAACTCGGATAAAATATATTTTTTTTCGACAATACTAGAAGAACACTATAATCATATTAAAAATATTATAATCGAAGAATTCTATACCATTTTTTAATGTTCTTCTACCACAGCTATGAATTATATTTTTGTGAAAATGCTAGGCGTAATAAGATTCAACTTTTTAAAAAATATTTTTAATAATACTAGAAAAACATCGTAACCCTATTAAAAAATACTGTAATTAGAGAATTTTATATCGATTTTTAATATTCTTTTTACGATAGCTATGAATTATATGTTTGTAAAAATTTCAAGCACAGGATTCAACTTTAAAACAAACTTCGTTCGATGTATTGAGTTACAGTATTTTTTTATAAAAAAATACAAATATAAAAAAATTATTACGAAAAATCGATCTAATTCGATGGATTAGTCCATAAAATAAAAATGAGAAAAAAAATTAGTCCATAGGAAGGAAGAAAAAGGAAAACATGAGAATCGATCTAATTGGGTGGATTAGTCCATAAAAAAAAAAAAAAGAGGAAAACACGAATAGATAGTTGACTTGTCTTTGAGGAATGAAGAGGTAATTTAATTGATAAAGAAAGTAAAAGGAGGGAAAAAAAAAACCCTAAAATGAAGATTTTTAATTATCTTCCAACTATCACCAACAACAATATTTATTCTTCCTTCCACCTTTTTTCCAACTCGATCACTCGTGAATTAATCGTCGGATTGTAGGAAGAAGATGATCCTCCGGATCCGCAGCCGAGACGGCATGGAGCGCGTCGCCGTGCCGGACCCTTCCACCGCCACCGTCGCCACTCTTTGCTCCCTCATCGAGTCGCATCTGGGCGTTCCCGCCACCGTCCAAACCCTCTCCCTCGATCACAACCTTCTCCTCCCCTCCAAGGCTCAGAGCCCAGCCCTCGACCCCGCTACCCCCCTCTCCTCCCTCCCCATCGGCCACGGCTCCATAGTCTACCTGTCCTACCCTGCCGACCTCCGCCGTGCCGCCGCCGCCCCCACGCCTCCGCCCTTCACACCCGCTGGATCCTTCGGCCGCCACAAGATGACCATCGACGACCTCATCGCCCGTCAAGTCCGCGTCGCCCGCCAGGAGTCCCCCCACTGCGACGCCGCCTCCTTCGACCGCGACGCAGCCCACGCATTCCAGCTCTACGTTGCCGACACCCTCGCCTTCGCCGTCAAGCGCGCCGGTTTCCTCTACGGCCATGTCGACCAGGCCTCCCACTCCGTCGCCATCGACTTTGTCTACGAGCCTCCCCAGCAGGGCTCTGAGGACGCGGCGGCCCTCTTCCGCGATCCTGACGAGGAGGCCCTCGTTGAGGCCATCGCTGCCGGCCTCGGCATGCGTCGGGTGGGATTTATCTTCACCCAGGCCGTCGGCCGCAAGGCCGGCACCGCCGAGTACACCATGTCCGGCCGCGAGGTCCTGCAAGCCGCCGAAATGCAGGCCGAGGGCGGCATCCCCGAGTGGGTGACCGCCGTGGTCAAGCTCGATGTTGCGGAGGACGGCGCCGCAGACGTGCACTTCGAGGCCTTCCAGATGAGCGACATCTGCGTTCGCCTCTTCAAGGAGGGATGGTTCGTGACGGAGTTCGGAGAGGATGACGACCCCAGGGTGTCGAGGATGAAGAAGGATGTGGTTGTCGGGGGCAAGGATACGAGGGAGGTTGACAACGATTTCTTCTTGGTGCCAGTCAAGATCTCCGATCACCAGGTCAGTTGGCTTATACACAATCTCTCTCTGCTTATTGGATTTCTTCATGCTTCTGACGCTCGAAATGATAAATCTTATTAGATCCAGATCTCCTTTAGTCTTTTACTATGTTCATCATATCATATCTTGGTTGAATCAGTTCTTTCCATGACACTAATATCAGATCTGATTGGAAGTATCCGCTTGATCTATATGGAAAGGCATCCGCTTTATCCTTATGGAAAGGAGACCCATCTCTTTTGGTTCTTAAAACCGAAATGGAAGTATCGACTAGGTCTATACGGAAAGGGAAGGTCGTAGAATCCTTCGTTCTAGCTATTAGGAATCAGAATCCTGATTAGGTTGGTTATGGACTATGGACTTAATTGAAAGTCTTTGGGATGAACAAACCAATATTCATCATCTCGTGCCGACCGATGGTGTCGGTCTTGGCTTGGACAAGTATGTATCGATCGATATGAGCATACCATATGTTAATACGTTAGCATCGGTTTTTGAAAATTTAGCCAAAAAATGATTGAAAAATTCTGGAAAAGTAAAAAACCCTTTTAATCCTAATTTTATAGGATTTTAATTCAATTTCGATAAGAATAAAGCACAAATGAGTGATAAATGGTTAGTAATTGTAGGTTTTTAGGATGAGATAGCGAATTATCTTTTTTGGATCGTTGAGGAGCAACTTTGTCTCACGATCCTTCATTTCTTCCCTGATCTTGAATCATCAATATGAATTGAGATGTTAGATTATATGTCAAAAGCTTTATAATATCAACAAATTAAGTAATAAATGAAAGCAACTTGTATATATATGCTTCTACCACTAAAATGAACGACGAGACTCCATCATCGGTGGATTGAGGTGCTCGATCATGTAAATTTGTATATCAATGTGATACGTCTATTGGACCCAATCTTAAAACTGTTCCCATTAATGCATCAACATGGTAACACTTGTTGCCTGATTGTCATTAATGACACATGTTCAAGGAACCTCTTGAGATAAGTATGATTATGACATGTAGAGGTGGGGAGGTTGGAGTACACTAGAACTTTTGTTGTCATCACTGACATGCTGCTCTATATCGTAAGAACGATCGGTTTTGAAAAAAAAAATGATCGACTATCGTTGTACATCTTTTGTTTGTAGGATCCACCATATGATGGTTGTGAATACAACGAGCTCATATCCATGTCTATATCATAAGGCTATATTGCATGTGCTTTAAGTTATCAATTGCCTTCCCCTTTCCTTTATTCTTGCAACTATAAACAATGCTTGGATCCTTAAACCCCATGATCTAAATATTGGGTGGCATGCGTAAAATGTTGCTCTTGCTCTTATGTCCATGCTTGAAGTAGTCGGAACCGATTATGATGCTCAATTGAGAAAGAGAGTGAGAAAGAGTCAGTAGGAAAGAGAGGGAGAAAGATTGTGAGCTAGGGGGAGTGAAGGAGATGAGAGAGAGGTTTTAAAAAGAGGGCAAACAACCTAAACTAGAGGTCGGATGATCAAATTGACTATTGGACCCGCATGATTTGACCCAATTGAATCGATACGATCGGAATTTGACTAGATGTAGGTCAATAACTAGTTTTGACTGCATCATGGTACACCTCTCGCCTGTCACATACTGCCCAAAACGGGTTGGTATGTGTACCAGTTGTCGGATAGACCGATATGCACTGTCTATTTCGTATCGTATCGGGTGGTATGACCAACATTGGAACAAGCTAATATTTGTTATGTAAACTTTTTTATTATCCTGAAATCTCTAGAGGAGATTCATAGTCAGTATATGTGTTATGCGATGAGGACTGATCAGGTCATGAGTCATTGCGTAAAAGTAGGCACATTATGCAAACTCTACAAGTTCCTATTGGAAACTTTGCATATTGTATTCATGCTAATGGTGAATTTGTTTCATGTGTAAAACCTATTCATGCTTTGGTATTAATGTAAGATGAGGCTCAAATGAAAAAGAAAATGCAACAGTTTATAAATAGATCAAAGTTCTTCTTGTACTTAGATAAACTGATTAGTATGTTAAGTAAAACATTTATTGAGAGTCAGATGTTAAGATGATCACTTTTCAGGTTAAGGAATGGATGATGGTACTTGAAGAAGCAAACAGCCAGATTCAGGCAAAGAAGAGAATGTTTAGTATACTAATTTGGTTTTACCTGGGTGTAGTACAGACTCAATATGGCGTCTAGACTTTGATGGGAAATGCCTTATCCGGAACTTCTCCAGATCTGGTTATATAGAGATTTGCAAGTTAAGATATATGTAGATCCAGTGATTTAAAAAGCGTTAGGTGTTAACGTCCAAAAACGCCCGAGCGAAGCGAGACGCTAAAATATAAAAATATATAATATAATTATTTAAAATTTTAAATAAAAATATGCTATTAAATTAAGAAAATCTAAGATACAAAATCATAATGTCACATTAACAAAAAGTTTTAAAATTCAAAACAATAAAATTTTACATTAAAGTCATTCATCATAATCAATATTATCGTCATTTTCACATAAATCATATTCATTGAATTCGTCCTCTTTCTCTTGTCTTTCGGCTCCTTCTTCATCAAAATATGTTTCATTCTCTATGTCTTCAACAATAGCAGGAGCCGAGCTTGATGCTTTTGCACTCATTTTTCTCTTTGTCATCTGTCTTGTATATGTTTGTAATTCTCCAGCACTTGAAGCTCTTGCCACATCTCTCCATGTCAATCTATCATCTTCAAATACAAGCTCGTCTTTGGCATCTTTCAAGTTAGCACCTATTTCTCCCACCAATCACTCATTTGAATCATCAATATCTTGCAAGTTAGCACCTATTAGTGACAGCTGATATCGGTGCTTTAGTTGGTTCGATTGAACCAACTAAAGCACCGAAGATCGAACCAGACCTAAAACGCTAGTTCGGTCGCCTGGTTTAACCCAGGTGCTCGCTCAAAGCGCCCAGCACCTGGGCTTGGGCGAGCGCCCAGGCGGCGCCTCTTTGAAGCGCGCCGCTTGGAAGTGAAGCGAGGTGCTCGGGCCTCGCCTCGCCCGAGCGCCTTTTTAAATCACTGGGTAGATCTGAGATGAAAATGCAACCTGACTTTTATATGTTTATAAAAAGAGAGGTAGATGAAAGTAATAATTAAGAAAGGCAGTGAGAAGTACAAAAGATACTAGGAGGAAAGGGGCCTGCAGGCACAGCTGAAGTCGGTTTTGCTAATAAAAGTAACATTTATTTGTTTTCTGCAGATCTTCCTCCTTGTAAAAATACTAGTTAAGCTAGACTCAGACTCTTAAGTTAAATATTTTGAAAAGAAACAAAAAAAAGCCTAAAATAGCTGCCTGGAAATGCTCCTAAATTGTTTAGACTAACATCTTTTCTCTAGAACTTCGTGCCCGGATGATACTCTAGAATAGAAGATCTTTCAATTCTATCACCATTATCTTTTTCTCTTTTAATTTGTATGGCTATAAAATTGTTCCAGGTTTCCGAATAGAGTAGTAGGGATGCTAGCTGGTTAATATCTATCATGTCTTTATTTAGCAACACTATAAAATCTAAAAAGGTTAAGAAAAGATTCAAAATGTCAGATGACATTCAAATCAATCATTGCATGTAGCAATCTGATGTTGGAAAAATTCATGTGAAAAGCAATGAATTTCACATGACAAAAGAAACATGGACTTGAATGGATGAGCCATTATTAGAAGGATTGTAGTTTGTCTTTTCCAGATTATGAAGAATAAAGATAGTGCAACTGGCGTTATGTTATTGTTGCTTATGAGTATTTCATTTGAAGCATGTCTCGTTTACATTCTTCCTGATCAAATTCTTCAAAATTACTCTTGTCTCTCTAGGAAGATGTGTTTATAGTCTAAGTAACTCAATTTATTAGTTACCATTAAATTGATCCTGAAGTTGTTTTAGTATTTAGTTCAATCAAATATAGTTATTCAAGACTTTGTCAATCGACATGGATAAGCTACAAACATTAACTTAAATGTTTTATGACTGACAATCAAATTCTGGTCAATCTTTTATAGTTTGTCTAGACTCATCATGTTTGTCAAACTCTAATTGGATCGACACAGATATTTAACTTCCTGTTGCAATTTAAGCTCATGCAACCAATGTTCGAACCTTCAATTTTCTTTAGACCTATGAAGAGAGTAGGGTCAGTGACAAGCTTAGCTATTTGCAGAAATATTATTGTAATTACGATTGAACTGTTAGATCATTGAAGCAAAATGGTACTGCATATGGTCACGCCAGATGTGAATCATTTGTTGTTTTTGTTCTATTTTGATATTCACAACTGCGTTTCATGTATGCATCAAAGTAGATCTGTTTGCAATTTTTTTTTGCATAATTTAGAAGTGTCCTTAAAGTTGCTGAGGTTCAAAGAATGGCCATGCTTCAGTTTTTGGAGGAAGAAAATAGGAAGAGAGGTGTCTAGCACTGGTTGTAGATTTTTGATGAAGCAAATGTCATATTGTTTCTTTGACATTTGCTTTATATGCTGATTAGCCTGTTGTTTAAAACTTGATTGATTCAACTAAGATGTGGAGTGCTCACTTGCATCAGAAGCCTAACAGTGTTAAGGTGCATTTCATTAGATCCAACAACCATCATATATGCCATTGACAATTCCACAGTTTATCACTGTACGTTGATATAATTTTTATATGCTTTGATTTTCTGCAGGGGCCATTATCTTCGAGTTTTCCTATAGAGAACCGGATTACTCGAGTGACCCTCAAGGCCCTAAAGAACCACTTGGATCGGACAAAGCACCTCCCGTTTGTAAGGCGCATCTCCGATTTTCATCTGCTTCTCTTACTCGCGAGGTTCTTGGACGTAAATGCTGATGTACCAACGCTCGCTGAATGTGTGCAGAAGCAATCATCGGTGCCAGAAGGTTATCAGCTTCTGATAGAATCCATGGCTGCTGCGTCTTGAAATTATATGCTGCATGTACGAGTCATACAAACCTTGTTAATTTTTCCTGTGTAGTCTCTTTCTTATGGACACTTTCATGTAGATTTACTACTTGCGATACAATTTTTTTTTAGGGTCAATTTACTTTGAGTTGGTGAACTTAAAATCTTTCTGTTATGTTGATCTTTATAATTAACAACATAAAGATGATTGATTGCTTTGTCTGATATTTAACTTCATCATGTCTTCCTCTCTCATTGATTCCCAACCGTAGTTCTTTACCGTTGGGAGTCTTGATCATGTGTGCTTCTAAGATGTTAGGTGGTTCTTATGTGAGTGATTCAATCATTATTGTACCTAAAATTTATGCTAACAAATCACACTTATCATAAGTGTTGAATTATTTGTCTGCGTCTTATCACTGCACTTAAATATATTTTTCATATGCTTGGTGGGGCCATTGTTTTAGAGTTTTTCTATAGAGAGAATCCGATTCCCACTGGTAACCCTGAAAGCTCTCTATAGAACCATTTGGATCATGGAATGTGCTTCTTAGCAGCTACGGACAAAATATGTCTAGAATGAAAATATTATGTTGAAAATTTGTATAAAGAACCATTTGGATCATGGAATATGCTCCCGTGGTTTAACCGTACTCTCTCTATGTTCAAAATATTATTATGTTGGTCGCTAAATTACATTGTTTAGTAACCATAAGTGTTTAATTTCTTTAAATTTCGTCACGATAAGTGTTTAATTTGGCAAAGTGACAATATTTATGATCAACGACAGTGTCACTAACATCGATCACTCTACTACGTATGTCTGTCTGTCTGGTGACAAGATGATGTAAATATTTGGTTTGCTAAAATCTGTCACTAAAATATTTAATTAAATGAAAGAGACTTTATATGAATGATACATTTAACAATGATTGATAACATTTAGGATGATGGTCAAAGCACTATGGTGACAGTTCCATTTTTTTTTCTTACAAAAAATACTCACTGTAAACATAAGAGGTTTTGAATCAATACCTCCACCAACCTTCAATTTTTCCCATAATATATGTATACTATAATAATATGATGTGATGTCACTTAAAGCGGTTCTTTTTTTTATTTCGCCAAATGTTCTACAAATGAACATAAAAAAAAAAGCACTGGCAAAATAGATTCTCGGTCGTCCTAAGCCTCAATTTTTATTCTCAATTAAAAATGGCATCCCCAATGTTACATACATAGATTCTAAGCAAATTTAAGAAGCCCTTTGGCAATGGCACCATCGCCACCATTCGGCAAGAAGCCTCCGGGCGTTCCTTCATCGCCGGTGCCATAAACGATCCGAAGGATCTCCGCCGGCGTCCTCTTGTAAGCGACCGAGTTGACGTTGGCCGAGAGTACGTTGCTGTTGGTCTTGTTCTCGGCTCCCCAGCCGACGGGGACGAGAAGGCCTTCGTCTTTGACACCACAAGAAGCCAGCTTGTTCCTTAGCTCTGACACCTTCGTGGTGAACTCTGCCACTGTTAGGTTCTTGTAAGGTTGGACGACCTCATTCGCTCGCTCGTACAGTAGGGTTCTTATAACTGCATCTTGCCCAGATTCAACTGCCAACAGTCCTGCAAGAAGCTGCACCAAGTAGACAATACATCGGATACGATTTGTTTTCTGCATCCGCTGTGTAGCTACACATACAAGAGACGGATATATATATATATA